TCTCTCTCTCTCTCTCTCTCTCTCTCTCTCTCTCCTCCCCCCCTTCTCTCCTCTTCCTTCTCTCTTTCTCTCCTCCACCCATACCTTTCCCTCCCTCTCTCCCTTCCCTTCGCCTGAAGTCACGGTGCCTTCATAAATACGTCAGACCTCCTCGCCCCTCTGGGTGAACTCTCAAGACGGAGAGAGTTCGTCCTTGACCAATAAGTAGCTTCCCTCCGCCAGCCCCAACTTCATCATGTGGCTTTACGACTTTACCTCAAGATTCTGTAAAGTTATTGCGGTACAAGTACAACTGGTGTAGAGTACTAAGGGGGTAGAGTGTGACAGTTGTAGCTTGTGACAGGTGTAGATTGTGACAGGTGTAGCTAGTGACAGGTGTAGCTAGTGACAGGTGTTACTAGTGACAGGTGTAGCTAGTGACAGGTGTAGCTAGTGACAGGTGTAGCTTGTGACAGGTGTAGCTAGTGACAAGTGTAGCTAGTGACAGGTGTAGCTTGTGACAGGTGTAGCTAGTGACAGGTGTAACTAGTGACAGGTGTAGCTAGTGACAGGTGTAGCTAGTGACAGGTGTAGCTTGTGACAGGTGTAGCTAGTGACAGGTGTAGCTAGTGACAGGTGTAGCTTGTGACAGGTGTAGCTAGTGACAGGTGTAGTGTGAGTGAGGCACTGATGTGAGGGGTTGTCAGTGGGTAGTAGTGCTATGTATACAGCTGCTCTCACTACTATTCAATTATATCTTTACGTTCCGTCCATTTGCTTACTTGGGTTCCTGAGGAAGTTCTTCGCCACATCCTAATGGATCATTTGCATGTGTAGCTTCCCTGTTCATCCAAAACATGGTATCTCCAATTAATTGTTTCTCGCCATATATTTTGTACAAATCATATTCCTCTCTATTTCTACTTCCACTTACATTCTATTTAATTCCCTCAGTCTATTTAGCTCCCTCATCAGTACACATGATATACTGTTAAACAGGATACTGGAGGAGAATAACTCGGGAAATATTCTACAGCTAATCCATATGTAATTTAATTAAATTAAAAACACAGCCATCCTCTTAAAATTAAGACATTTGTTATAGAAGAATAATACAATGCACGACCGTCTCCATTGTAGGGAACAATATTTTTAATAACTGGCTACAACCACCTTGATTTATATGCGATAGTGATGATTACGACCTTCAATATTACAGGGTACGACCTCCGGTATCACAAGATACGACCTGGGGTATTACAGGGTAGGACCTTGGGTATTACAGGTAGGACCTTGGGTATTACAAAGTAGGACCTTGTGTATTACAGAGTACGACCTTGAGTATTACAAAGTAGGACGTTGAGTATTACAGAGTACGACCTTCAACCAGCGGTGATACGATGTTCTTAACAGCCTCGCCTTAACAATATATTTATGTCGTCTGCAAATTTCCAAATATATCTGTTCAATTCTATGTACTCTCAACATGTGTACATATATGGTAAACAACGAAGGTCTTAGGACAGAGCCCCGAGGCACTCCACTTACAACAGTGCCACACTCGGACTCAACTTTGTATTAACTCTGTAGACCTGGAAATAACCAAGCAATAATTCACAACAAATTATTAATACCTCGAACAGTGGAACACAGAATTATGAGAATTGGGATTTTTGATCAAATGTGCGGTTGAGTTTAGGTGGTTCGTTGCCAATTACAATTTTGTATTAAAATAAAACACGTTTGGCGGAGCGTGAGCAATGAGAGGAGAACGAAAGTATGCGTGCATTTAATTATATATAGTGAAGAACAAAGGTCACGATGCATTTCTGTCTGTTTGTCTGTGTCTGTCTGTCTCTCTCTCTCTTTATATACATATATATATATATATATATATATATATATATATATATATATATATATATATGTGTATATATATATATATATATATATATATATATATATATATATATATATATATATATATATATATATATATATATATATATATATATATATACACACACACACACACACACACACACACACACACACACACACACACACACACACACACACACACACACACACACACACACACATACACTCATTTTCCTTAAGTGTTTCTTCACTTGACCAAAAGTTGAATAATTAACTCTCCAGACCTTATTTCAAAATTTTAGTATGGTCTTTCACTTGTCAACATTATCAAAAAAAGTGAATACAAGAATTATAGCAACCAGTTATATAACCGGAGGTGAGGCGAAGGTGAAGCACCCTCACCTTCACCTCAAAAGAAGATGGTGAAGCACCTTCACCCTCACCTCAAATTTGCAAATAGTCCAATTGCACCTTACGAGTCCCCCTATGTTTCCATGATGGATGGTTACACTATGTTGGATGTTTCGTCGTGTTGTGGAAGATGTCAGTTTCATTTGTTGTTAGTTGACTGTTTATAGTTCTCTGGGTTCGTTTGATGTGTAATGCCTCTCCAATATCTAGCCCTCTAACGTCGCTATATTTGTCGATTATTTTGGTGTTGCTTGTGAGGACATATTTGGTTATGAGTAGATCCGGTTGTGGGTAGAGGTACATGTTCCTTGATTGGGCTTTGCTGTTTGTACACAAATAGCTAGCGGTTAATTATAAATGTGAGGGCTTAATTGTTCTACAATATGATATCTTGAAGCCTTTCAGGATTACTTTTGCAACACGGGTGTTAAATTCTCGCCAAATCGATCCATGAAAACCTGAGGAATGTTGGAGTAACAAGGCTAATTGGTTCACATAAAGCACCGGATAAGCCCATGACTTGGCAGTGATTTGGAAGAACAAATCTAGAATAGAATTCTTGTTTTTATATAGATAAAAGTGTTCGAGTACTCCAATGTATGAATTGGAGAAATATTTTATGATAGAGCAGTGTTTGAATATGGTTTGATTCATTCAATGAATTGTAGAGAAGTACTGAACGTAATGCAGTATGGCGGTGGATGATTGTGTATAGTGGAGATGGTGGAGAATGTTGGAGTATATGGTGGAGTATGGTGGAGTATGTTGGAGTATAGGGTGCGTATAGGGGGATGTACTTGGGGTAGGGTTCCGTTTTCTGTGAGCGAGCTGCTGCTACTACCCCAGAGCTGCCGGCCCACAGGGAGGGGAGGTTAGGGGCCGAGTGCACACACCCTCTTCGCTACTAGCACGCCCGCAGACGCCCACGCCCAAGTAAGTACATGTATATCAACCTTAAAGTCCGCCTAAAGTGTCCAGGCATCCCGTGAGTGTGTCCAAAGGAGTAGAGAAGGTGAGGCGAAGATGGTATCCAGTGTGAGGGTATGGATGTATGGGAGGAACTACCCGCCGCCACCGACACCCAACGAGCCTGGGCCTACTCGCCATCGAGCGAGGGAAGAAGTGCCATCTAGAGAGAGAGAGAGAGTGAGAGAGAGCAACCCAGGCACCACCGAGCCAGCCGCCCCGACCCGAGGCACAGTGCCACACGAAGCAACTATTGATTACCTTTGCTATTGATCTTTTCCAGGGGTAAATTGTGAGAGAGGTTGGTGGGCGGTAGTAGACTGTTGGCAGGCACTCTGAGGCAACCGTTGCCTCTACTGCTTCTCCTCCTCCTCCTCCTACCACCACGCACTCTCACTCACTGCCAGCCAGATATTGATCCATTGATTTTCCTGCCCTGGCACCGTCTATTTTATTTCCACATCATGCAGTTCTCAGTCCGCGCCGACCCACCGCCAGGCTCGCCACCAGCGCGGCGCGTACACACTTAAACTCGGCGTGACACTACCGTAGACTTTGTCTCTAAATTGATCGCGTGCCGGCGCGTTAACCCACACGAGTGTCGCGGAGATGTTCCCCTTGGCGAGGACGGGCTAGGCCGCTTGCTTCTGCCACATTGATATGTTGCAATAAATAAATATTAGTTGCAACTCAGTATTATCATTGCATTTTTTACATTTTGTGCCCTGGTCACAAAATTACGTGTGTACACCGTCTACTAAATTATATATTAAACAATTGCTCTTAACTATGTGATATTAGTGACAAGTTTCTTGTTAAGGCAGTGAAATGGCAGAGTGTGTTTTAGAAAATTTTAGAAAATTCCCAGAAAAATGAGTGTATAAGTGATGTACGCGAAAGTGTAAATATAGAAAAAAGTGTGTTTTTTTGTGTGTGTGTAGTGTTGGTGATAGTGCCACCACGAGATGCTCCCATCCTCCCCTCGCACATAGCCTGGCTCTCACCCATGTTTCCCTTCTTGATTCCCCACATGTAAGTACACCAGCAGCTGGCATCAGCTGTCCTTCCTCCACACTTACTCTCTGCATGCACTCAACTCTCTCGTGTGTGTGTGTGTGTGTGTGTGTGTGTGTGTGTGTGTGTGTGTGTGTGTGTGTGTGTGTGTGTGTGTGTGTGTGTGTGTGTGTGTGTGTGTGTGTGTGTGTGTGTGTGTGTGTGTGTGTGTGTGTATGTGTAATTACCTGTGTTGCTTCAGGATGAGAGTTATGCTCCTGGTGTTCCGTCTTCCCAAAATATGTCTCTATGTTCTGGAGCTTCGATATTTGGGCATAAAATTCCCTCTTTTATTTATTTAGTCTCTCTGTACTCTCATTTGTAAAAAGAGTATATTATATATATATATATATATATATATATATATATATATATATATATATATATATATATATATATATATATATATATATACATATATATATATATATATATATATATATATATATATATATATATATATATATATATATATATATATATATATATATATATATATATATAACTGTGTGATTCTTTATATGAATGGTGCGCATGAAGTGATTTTAATCTTTTATTTATGTGAATATTATTATAGTTATTATTATTATTATTATTATTATTATTATTATTATTATTATTATTATTATTATTATTATTTTTATTATTATTATTATATTGGAGGGGGGGGGGGGGTGGGGGGGGGAGGGGGGCGCTTCCAAGGTGTTTTCCCGCTAATTCACATTTTCCCGCCGTAAAACTTTTGGTCAGTGTTAAGTTTGATCTTATTGATAATGCAGACTATGTTTGTGTTGCTGTGGGTGTTGCTGTGGGTGCTGATGTGTGCTGTTGTGGCAGTGTTGCGGATGTTGTGTGAGTGAGGTTGCGTGTGTTTTGTGTGGGTGTTCTCTGGGTTTTGTTGTGGGTATTTTGCGTGTGTCTTTGTGCGTGTTTTTGTCAGGGGTTGCTGTGTGTGTTGATGTATGTGTTGTGTGGGTGCTGTTGCGAGTGTTGCTCTGTGTGGTTGTGAGTGATGTTGTGGGTGTTGTTATCGGTGCCATTGTGAGTGTTGTTTTAGGTGTTGTGTGTTGTGTTGCTGCATGTAGTTGTGGGTGTTCTGTGGGTGTTGTGTGGATGTTGTGGATATTTGTGTGTTGTTGTTATGGGTGTTGTGTGGTGTTAAGGCATGTCTCGTGTGGGTGTTGTAGGTTTTGTTTTGTGTTTTGTTGAGTGTTGTGTGTTGTGAAGTGTTGTTGCTATGGGTGTTAGTAGTGTTGTTGCCGGAGTTACACGTTGTTTTGAATGTATCGTGTGTTGATGTGGTGTTTTTAATGTGTATTATTGTAGGGGTCGTGTGTGCTGTTGTATGTGCATTGTTTTGGTTTTGTTGCGTGTGTTACGGGTGTTGTTTTGGGTGTTTTTGCGTGTGATGTTTGTGTGTTGTTGCGTATGTTACTGTGTACTATTGTGTGGGTTGTATGGATGTTATTGTGTTGTTGTGGCTGTCATAGTTGTGTGTGTTGTTGCTGAGTGTGTTGTTGTGGGGTTTTTTTTCGGGTGTTGTGGGTGTTTTGTGTTGTTTCCTGTGTAGATGAAGGTGTTGTTGCACGTCTTGCTGTGTGTGTTGTTGTGTGTATTGTTGTGGGTGTTGTTGTATGAGTATTGTTGTATTTGTATGTGTTGTGTGTTGTTGTGTTGTATGTGTTGTGTGTTGTGGTGTTGTAGGTGTTGTTTTGTGTGTCAGTGTGTGTGTTGTTACGAGTTTTATTAAGGGTCGATGTTGTGGATATTGATGTTGTTGTTGTTGTATATGTCGTTGTGATTGTTGTTGTAGGTGTTGTGGATGTTTTGGTAGTGGTGTTGATGTGGGTAATGTATGTTGCGTGTGTTATACGAGTGTTGCTGTGAGTTCCGTAAGTGTTGTCGTGTGGGTGGTGAGTGCATACCAGTAATGGCTAAGCGAGACGAGTCGGGCTCATATCATAGCGAGACGAGTCGGGCTCATATCATAGCGAGACGAGTCGGGCTCATATCATAGCGAGACGAGTCGGGCTCATATCATAACGAGTCGGGCTCATATCATAGCGAGACGAGTCGGGCTCATATCATAACGAGTCGGGCTCATATCATAACGAGTCGGGGCTCATATCATAGCGAGACGAGTCGGGCTCATATCATAGCGAGACGAGTCGGGCTCATATCATAGCGAGACGAGTCGGGCTCATATCATAGCGAGACGAGTCGGGCTCATATCATAACGAGTCGGGCTCATATCATAGCGAGACGAGTCGGGCTCATATCATAACGAGACGAGTCGGGCTCATATCATAACGAGACGAGTCGGGCTCATATCATAGCGAGACGAGTCGGGCTCATATCATAGCGAGTCGGGCTCATATCATAGCGAGTCGGGCTCATATCATAGCGAGACGAGTCGGGCTCATATCATAGCGAAACGAGTCGGGCTCATATCATAGCGACACGAGGCACGCACGTGTCATGTCTTTGCGAGAAGTGACGCTCACCTGTCATGTTTACTGTAGTGTCATGGAGGGCGCTTTCCCGCGGCCGTGATCTCTGGTGCTGACACCACCAGGCTCTCCTCCCTCACTTGTTGAACGCCTGCTCCGGATATCACGCCAACGTAAATGGTTTTCTATAAACGGACGCGGCTTTGACACCCGTGTGCTTGTTATCATGGTTTGTGTTATCTGCTCCGTCCTGCAGGCTGTCGCGGGTGATCCCCGGCTGTTAACGATAGCCTGGAACTCTTGGATGGTTATAACTTGGAGACCTTCTACAAGATACAACAGAACATTTTTCGCATGATATCAGAATTGACTTGCCACTGACAGAAGGCAGGACGAGAACGTTATTGACACGAAGACAGTTGTAGTAGACATGTATGACGCGGAATATATGTTGTTCTTTGTTGTATTATTCCTTGCTGACCTTTGACCTTAAGGACTATGTCTTAATTACTAGAGAACAAGACGGTATATAATGGCTTTTCCTGATTCATTGTCTGGAGACACGTCAGTGGCATTCTTTGAGGGGCCTGGTGTACATGGTCTGTGGCAGGTGACCACGTGGTCTGTGGCAGGTGACCACGTGGTCTGTGGCAGGTGACCACGTGGTCTGTGGCAGGTGAGCACGTGGTCTGTGGCAGGTGAGCACGTGGTCTGTGGCAGGTGACCACGTGGTCTGTGGCAGGTGAGCACGTGGTCTGTGGCAGGTGACCACATGGTCTGTGGCAGGTGACCACGTGGTCTGTGGCAGGTGACCACGTGGTCTGTGGCAGGTGACCACGTGGTCTGTGGCAGGTGACCACGTGGTCTGTGGCAAGTGACCACGTGGTCTGTGGCAGGTGACCACGTGGTCTGTGGCAGGTGACCACGTGGTCTGTGGCAGGTGACCACGTGGTCTGTGGCAGGTGACCACGTGGTCTGTGGCAGGTGACCACGTGGTCTGTGGCAGGTGACCACGTGGTCTGTGGCAGGTGACCACGTGGTCTGTGGCAGGTGAGCACGTGGTCTGTGGCAGGTGAGCACCTGGTCTGTGGCAGGTGACCACGTGGTCTGTGGCAGGTGACCACGTGGTCTGTGGCAGGTGACCACGTGGTCTGTGGCAGGTGACCACGTGGTCTGTGGCAGGTGACCACGTGGTCTGTGGCAGGTGAGCACGTGGTCTGTGGCAGGTGAGCACGTGGTCTGTGGCAGGTGAGCACGTGGTCTGTGGCAGGTGACCACGTGGTCTGTGGCAGGTGACCACGTGGTCTGTGGCAGGTGACCACGTGGTCTGTGGCAGGTGACCACGTGGTCTGTGGCAGGTGACACGGTGGGTAGCGTACGCTTGATTCATCAAACTAATGGACCTCTTCCACCGAGCTTATGTGACGCAACAAGCTGATGATGACATCTCACCACTATTGTTCAAAGCAATATTAAAACATTATTTTCTTTGTTTCGGACTAAGGTCTCGTATGGGGTGGGGGGGGAAATATTCGAACAGTCAGTCAAGTTACTGATTTATCCTCTGGAAGACTTTTGTTTTTTACATTACATCCGGGTCCAAAAATTAATGCAGGTTAATGTGGACGGTATCGACAGCAGCTTCCAAACTGGTGTAATGAAAAATAAGTAATTCGATTTAACCGCTTTCTCGTATTAAGAGTCAACGTCTTTGATTTGTCTGGTCTACGATCCTAGACGTCACTTTAGACGTTTATCATATCAAGAGCATCTTCGGGTCAACAACTTTACCATATACACTGAAAAAAAATCTATTTATGAAATAAGATTCAAGCGGTGAAGATAAACAAGTGACCATCGGCTGTGGTGGGCACCAGATATGGCTGCATGCGTAAACCTGCGTTGTCAGAAGGAGTGAGGTGACCTGGTGGTGTTGTGGTGGTGTGTGAGGTGCCGCTGTGAGTGGTCTTCAGTGTACTCGAGGGCCCGGGGCATCAGTGCCCGAGCATGGTGCTAGTGGTGTGTGTGGGGGGCAGAGAGGGAAGGTGGGAGACACTGAGAGAGGGTGGGAGGGAGAGCAAGAGGGGGTAAAGAGGAAGGAAGAAAAGGATAGCTGGGAGGTAGGAAAGGGCGATGAGAGAGGGAAGAAGGGAAGGCGGGAGTGAGGGCCGGGAGGATGGGACAGAACGCTTGAGGTAGGAATTTCTTTAGAAAAAACCTTTCCTGTTACATCGCTCGCCCTGTGTATTTACGATAATTTTAGAATATCATTCAAACGCCCACTCTCGTAGCTCGTCTGCATTATTTGTACTTCAGTTCTCATTTGTATAAATAGCACTTCCACTACTAATATTTTCGGTTGAACTGAGTGCATCGACTGAAACTTTGCTGGGCCTTCTTGTCTGGTATTTACGATATTTTTTTAAACGATTTTTCTTTCTCGTCTGAGCTTTTTATTTTATTTTTACGTCCACCATTATTCTTTCAGCGCTTCCTGGTGCAGTTATTTGTCGCAATACCTGAACCCGTCTCGTATATGCCAGTTATTTCTCAGTAAGTTGTTCACTCTGGAACTGGATAAAAATGACCTTCTGAGGTCATTGGTGTTCTTCCTGATGCTGTCCTCACTCGCTGACGGCAGCAGTTGTTCATATTTTGTGGAAGATCCTTGTAGTAGTGGCCCAGTCTCCCGTCTGTATGTCTAACATTGTACTAACTTACGCCTCTACCAACCTGTAAATGGAAAATAAAACATTATTGATTAATTTCTTGCCTGTTGCGGTTTCTTTTGGCCTATTAGACTGTTGACTTAATTTCCATCTTTACTTCTGGCACATTAACTACTAAAAATTGTATTATTGTTCCTATTTTTATTATCTTGTCTCAACTGACTTGGGACTTTCTCTTCTCTTCTTGCTTTACTATTCTTTGGCTACTTCTAAGACTATCTGCTCTTCTACTTCCACTAGAATTATTCGCTCGTATTTTCCTTTCCAGATTACTCATTTCAATTCCCATTTTCGTTTTATTAATTCATTGTAATTCAAAGATTTGTTATATTTTTCTTCTCTCTCTTTTCTTGATTGTTTCGCAAGACCCAAAAAGTTTCTTTCACAGGACCTGTAAAGTTTATATCCATCTCCCCTATTTTGCTACTCTCTTTCCCTCGCAATTCTCGTTTTGACTCTTACTTTATTCATTTCAACCCTGAAGCTCTTCCATCACCTCAGCACCGGGGGTCTCGCTCCATCACCTCAGCACCGGGGTCTCGCTCCATCACCTCAGCACCGGGGGTCTCGCTCCATCACCTCAGCACCGGGGGTCTCGCTCCATCACCTCAGCACCGGGGGTCTCGCTCCATCACCTCAGCACCGGGGGTCTCGCTCCATCACCTCAGCACCGGGGGTCTCGCTCCATCACCTCAGCACCGGGGGTCTCGCTCCATCACCTCAGCACCGGGGGTCTCGCTCCATCACCTCAGCACCGGGGGTCTCGCTCCATCACCTCAGCACCGGGGGTCTCGCTCCATCACCTCAGCACCGGGGGTGTCGCTCCATCACCTCAGCGTCTTCTTTGTCATACGAATACATGAGTGTAGCTCCTCGGTACCTACTTGCTGCTAGGTGAACAGGCGCATTAGGCGATAGGAAATACGGCCAAACATTTCTGGCCAGCCCGGAATTCGTACCTGGAATTCCGAGACGAGAACGAGTTGTACTACCGAGACCCTCCTTACAGGAGCCACTAATGTGGGATCCTGTAAGCTGTATCGGCCCCCCCCCCACTGTACTCCCTCATGCTCCACCATCAACAGTCTCCAACAATCTCAAGATCCATCAATCATTTTCTTAACCATAAATCCACTAAAAGTTTCCCCCAACACCTATCATCTCCAACACACCTGGTACCTCTCCAACACCCATCATCTCCCACACAACTGGTACCTCCCCAACACCCATCATCTCCCACACACCTGGTACCTCCCACAACACCCATCATCTCCCACACACCTGGTACCTCCCCAACACCCATCATCTCTCACACACCTGGTACCTCACCAACGCCCATCACCTCCCACACACCTGGTACCTCTCCAACACCCATCATCTCCCACACACCTGGTACCTCCCCAAACACCCATCACCTCCCACACACCTGGTACCTCCCCAACACCCATCACCTCCCACACACCTGGTACCTCTCCAAACACCCACACTCTCACCAACACTCAGGAAATCCGGTCTAGTGAGCCGCTGACCCGGCCGGTGGCTGGACGACTCTGGCATCGTCCTCAACCTTGATATTTGTGAGTGATAGTAATGTTGACTCTTGTCAGGGCGTCGTCTCTCCATCCTCTCACCCCTCCCGCCTGTGTCGCTGCTTCACACAACCTCCCCAACACTCGCTCTCCCCTCCCCCCATCCTTCGGTTCCCCTCCCCACATTAACGCAACAAAGATCACCACACTCCACCCAACGGTACTCCAATCAACTGTACCCCACACTACGGTACCTCACTGGTACCGAACCCCGTCCCACCTGCCTCTCTGGTGCCTGGCGATCTTTCCCTTTAATTTGCCTTCCATTCTCTTTGCATAGCTCCCTTTATCGACGAGCTGCTCTGCTGTGGTCTAGGAATCCCCACATCGTCTGCTGAGGTTTACATAATCCCCACATCATGTGCGTCTGCTGAGGTTTACATCTTCCTACATCATCTAACTCTTGTAACCTAAGGAAACCCAAGCTATCCTAACCCAACATAAACTGAGGCCGCCGCCTTCCTTGTCTATCAGCCTGACGCGCCCGTCACTGGCAGAGACCAGGACTTTCACTGTCGTCGTCCCTTACGAGTCTCACTACCACACAGGCCTTCTCTTGCACCTGGGCTAATACCTCTGTCAGACAAGAGCGCACTTTCATAGTCTGCTGGGCTTAGCGTGTCAGCCTGGCGATCATTGGCGTTAGTGACGACTCTTTCAGTCGGGTTGTCGACTCTTTCAGCCCTAACAAGAATGACTCTGTCACCAGGGCTGACAGGAATATTAAATTCAGAGGTGTATTTGTATCTTGAAGCTTTAATATTTTTAATGTACACACAGACCAGATTAGACCTACAGGCAGGTACGAGCAGCACCGGACCACAGGCCGCCGGTACGAGTCAGAGTGCCAGTGAGTTACCGCAAGCCAAACTTGCTATATTTGTATAGGAGTAATCAATAGTACGATGGAAAACCGTTGTAGCTCTTTGCTTAGACAATACTTGTTATACCGTAACAATAAATTATATCAGTTAACTGTATGACGAGACTACATATAACCCATGATTGGATTCACCTGTGGTGAACCCCAGTGGTGATCTCAAGTGGTGATTCACGACAGGGTGTCCCAGTTCACCCAGTCCTCTCGAACATTCACAACGACACGAAAATGATGCAGTAAATTGCCAGAACATAACCTGAGGACCCGCGAATAGCAAACGGAACAGCACGTCAATTTTGCGAAACGCTGAGGTTCTAATACGTTACATTATGGCCGTTGGGGATTTATATGTTAAAATATGATGTACTATTCAAGAGGACAAGTTGTCCTTTGCAAATTAACCATTTCAATGATAAGGGAACAATATACTGTGTTAACCTAACACGTTTAACTAGATCATTCTTCAATCCATTGTACTAACTTCAGTTTTGTGATTCCAGGGTGTCGTCGGGCGTCAGAATGGCCATGTCCCCCCAACAGTTCTGCCTCCGGTGGAACAACCACCAGTCTAACATCATCTCGGTGTTCGAGCAGCTCCTCCAGAGTGAGTCCTTCGTCGACGTCACGCTCGCGGTCGAGGGCATGACTCTCAAGGCCCACAAAGTCGTCCTCTCCGCCTGCAGCCCGTACTTCCAGGTGAGTCTCTTGTGTTGGTACTTCCAGGAGGGTCTCTTGTTATGTTGGTACTTCCAGGTGAGTCTCTTGTTGTGTTGATACTTCCAGGAGGGTCTCTTATTATGTTGGTTCTTCCAGGTGAGTCTCTTGTTGTATTGGTACTTGCAGGTGTGTCTCTTGTTGTGTTGGTACTTCCAGGTGTGTCTCTTGTTGTGTTGGTACTTCCAGGAGGGTCTCTTGTTGTGTTGGTACTTCCAGGTGTGTCTCTTGTTGTATTGGTACTTGCAGGTGTGTCTCTTGTTGTGTTGGTACTTCCAGGTGGGTCTCTTGTTATGTTGGTACTTCCAGGTGGGTCTCTTGTTGTATTGGTACTTGCAGGTGGGTCTCTTGTTGTGTTGGTACTTCCAGGTGGGTCTCTTGTTGTGTTGGTACTTCCAGGTGGGTCTCTTGTTGTGTTGGTACTTCCAGGAGGGTCTCTTGTTGTATTGGTACTTGCAGGTGAGTCTCTTGTTGTGTTGGTACTTCCAGGAGGGTCTCTTGTTATGTTGGTACTTCCAGGTGGGTCTCTTGTTGTATTGGTACTTGCAGGTGGGTCTCTTGTTGTATTGGTACTTGCAGGTGGGTCTCTTGTTGTATTGGTACTTGCAGGTGGGTCTCTTGTTGTGTTGGTACTTGCAGGTGGGTCTCTTGTTGTGTTGGTACTTCCAGGAGGGTCTCTTGTTATGTTGGTACTTCCAGGTGGGTCTCTTGTTGTATTGGTACTTGCAGGTGGGTCTCTTGTTGTGTTGGTACTTGCAGGTGGGTCTCTTGTTATGTTGGTACTTCCAGGTGGGTCTCTTGTTGTGTTGGTACTTGCAGGTGGGTCTCTTGTTGTATTGGTACTTCCAGGTGTGTCTCTTGTTGTGTTGGTACTTCCAGGTGGGTCTCTTGTTATGTTGGTACTTGCAGGTGGGTCTCTTATGTTTGTACCAGTTGGGTCTTATTTTGGTACTTGAACTTCGGTTCAAATCCCCTCATTGTTACAACTGATTTTCTCGGTCTCGTATTGTTATGTTGACAATTAATTCTAAGCCAGGTGCTGGAACCGATTAGATCTCGGCTTCATGCCAGGTCCTGGAACCGGTTAGATCTAGGCTTCATGCCAGGTGCTGGAACCGATTAGATCTCGGCTTCATGCCAGGTCCTGGAACCGGTTAGATCTAGGCTTCATGCCAGGTCCTGGAACCGGTTAGATCTAGGCTTCATGCCAGGTGCTGGAACCGGTTAGACCTAGGCTTCATGCCAGGTGCTGGAACCGATTAGATCTCGGCTTCATGCCAGGTCCTGGAACCGGTTAGATCTAGGCTTCATGCCAGGTCCTGGAACCGGTTAGATCTAGGCTTCATGCCAGGTGCTGGAACCGGTTAGACCTAGGCTTCATGCCAGGTGCTGGAACCGATTAGATCTCGGCTTCATGCCAGGTCCTGGAACCGGTTAGATCTAGGCTTCATGCCAGGTCCTGGAACCGGTTAGATCTAGGCTTCATGCCAGGTACTGGAACCGGTTAGACCTAGGCTTCATGCCAGGTGCTGGAACCGATTAGATCTCGGCTTCATGCCAGGTGCTGGAACCGATTAGATCTAGGCTTCATGCCAGGTACTGGAACCGGTTAGACCTAGGCTTCATGCCAGGTGCTGGAACTAGTCAGAGTGAGGCCTCGTGCAAAACACGAGGATTTGATTTTCCAATCGAATTACATCCAACTCTGCGACCATTGTTAGGTGGATACGGACGTCCGGAGTGAATGGTCGTTCCTCCCATTTATTTCACCGTATTTATAACGCAGTCGACCATTGTGTCCTAATTATGGCATTCTAGTGATATTTAAAGCACCGTAAAGTGACGGATCTTTTGTGTTAAAATGTGTTGGACTCAGTAGCTTAAGTTGGTTGTCCTTGATCGTATGATTTTAATTAGACAAAACTAGTCTTGACAGAGGTCATCGTAAAAAGATTTTGTGAAGGACAACCGGGAATGGGAAAAGAGGGATAAGTTAGTAAGGGGAAAATAACCAATGGCATGAGAGGTCATGAGAAATTGTAAATGTGGTCAAGGTAATAACGTGTACAATATCAGGATACTTAAGAGTCAGAAGAAACATTGGAGATTATTAGTTCAACACTTTTTAAGGAGATAGAAAGGCGTATTACATATATATTATACATCATAATGATGGAAAAAGTGATGGAGCGTAGATGTATATCTTGACTGACATTCCTGATGGAGACATAATTACAAGGAGGAGCCAGGCTTCAGTGCCACTTGGCCCGTGTGCAAGTCCCGTCAGTGCCAATTATATGTGGTGGTTCGAGCGTTAATCACCAACTGGACCATCATTGTGCACCATCCTAACAAGTCTCGTACTCATTCTCGTAGGACAAGCTAAACTGTGTTCACATGGCATGGTCGCTGTGTTTACTGCCATGTGTGAACAATTATAAATAACATTCTATCATAAGTAAATTCTCTCTCTCTCTCTCTCTCTCTCTCTCTCTCTCTCTCTCTCTCTCTCTCTCTCTCTCTCTCTCTCTCTCTCTCTCTCTCTCTCTCTTTTTCTCTCTCTCTCTTTCTCTCTCTCTCTCTCTCCCCCTCTCTCTCTCTCTCTCTCTCTCTCTCTCTCTCTCTCTCTCTCTCTCTCTCTCTCTCTCTCTCTCTCTCTCTCTCTCCTCTCTCTCTCTCCTCTCTCTCTCTCTCTCTCTCTCTCTCTCTCTCTCTCTCTCTCTCTCTCTCTCTCTCTCTCTCTCTCTCTCTCTCTCTCTCTCTCTCTTCCTTCATTATGAGAATAACATCTCTTCCTCTTCTGACAAACTGTGGTATACTAATGTTGTATATCAATACAAGTGCAGTTCTGGAGACTGCTCTCCGAAATGTATGCTATATTGAGCATACAACGAATACACTGAGTAGGCATCTTACACTTAATTTGCAAAGGGGGGGGGAGGAATTAAGTAGTGATTGATGATGAAGATTAAGCCACCCAAGAGGTGACACGGGCATGAATAGCCCGTAAATTAAGTAGTTTCTTGCTGCTGGATATATAACCGGAGATGAGGTGAAGATAGAGGACCTCATTTATAGACCAATAGGTCCATTGTTTCTACATCCTCATAAACACTGTCAAGCAGTATCGTCCCCCGCGATAACAGCCTGACGATTTAAATGCGACCTCAGCACACAGTATACATTCACTAAAAATTTAAAAAAAAGTAATCTACCACGTATGTAATCTACCATGTATTCATGCCCGTGCCACCTTCTGGTTGGCTTAAACTTTAGAGCAATGATTGATTGATCAATCAATCAATCATTTTTTCTTACCAATCTTCAATGTACCCCATGATGGTTGCAGCAGTATGATGTGTGTTCCGTCGTGTTCTCCAGAATAGTGCTGGTTGGTTGCTGACAGCTGGTTTGGTTTGTTTAATATATAACGCCTCATTGATGTTTAGATTTCTGGTGTCACTGTATCTTGCGATTATTGTGGTGTTGTTTGTCAGGATCTCTCTGGTGATGGTCTGGTTATGTATAGAGACTATGTGTTCCTTGATAGGGCCTTGCTCTTTGTTCACTGTTAGGCACCTCAAAATGGATGATGTCTTGCCTTTATATTGAGTTCGTTGGGGCTGACAGTCCCCAGTTGGGCATGTGAAAACATAGACGATATTGGTCTCTTTCATGGAGGGTTTTGTTTGATGTCATGAAAATTGCCTTGGAAGTAAACAAAAAACTTTAATCAGAAATCATCAATCTTTGAACGAAAAGCGCATTTTTTCTGTGTTACTTTCGTAATGGCTTGGCGCTTTCTCCTGATAGTTCCCTTCTCTTCAGGCTCACACATATGTAAAACCTAAAACTGGAGTTCAGGATAAAAGACGCTGACAAATCTCATATGAAGAAGCGACCAAATCAAAGATGTTGAAGTAATGTCAGACGGCCGAACGTTAAGTGAACACAGGAGGACAAAAATAACCTAAGTCAGGGAAAATTATGGGGTGTGTGACGATGTGTCAACTTGATCAGTTTGTTATAGAGTTGTGTCTTTAACATGTCCTACTATATAATTATAGTGGCTTAGCGCTTTCTCCTCATAAATACCATTTCTTTATCATGTCTCACTGTTCTTTCTTTCAGTTTGGTGAGGTCAAGTTCCCTCCGTAGCTCAGGAACAAGCATTGTTACATAGCTTAGAACATTTTCTGTGTATCTGATTTGATCCCGTGTATGTATGCATTCGGCAGTTTAACGCCAATTTATCATAATGTTTAACATGATTGTGGGTGTCTCCAACAGGCTGTGTTGGCGTCACATCCAGACAAGCATCCGATCGTGATCCTGAAGGATGTGCGCTATACTGACATGCGGGACCTGCTCGACTTCATGTACAGAGGCGAAGTTTCTGTCGACCAAGACAACCTCTCGGGCTTCCTGCGCGTCGCAGAGTCGCTACGAATCAAAGGTCTCACCGAGGTCAACGAGAAGAAGAGACTGGAGAACTCCACCTCGGCGTCTTCAGCTTACCTTGTGCCTCAGGCCATGGCAGGGGCTGCCCCTCCTGGGGTGGCGCCTGGAGTTGTGCCTATGGCACCCCTAACGCCGCTCGCTGGCGACCCGCCACCACTTAAGAGGCCGCCACTTTCACCCTCAGCCACTTACGGCGCCAAGAGAAGGCGCGGTCGGCCGCCTAAGATTTCCGGCGAAGAGTCTGAGGGTGAGGTGGGGTCGGTAGCCGGGTCATTGTCGGCGGCGGAAGGCGAAGATACTCGAAGCGAAGCAGAGGTTAAGGTGGAGGTAGAGGAGGCCAAGGAGTGCCCAGAGCCCGATGACCTGACCAAGGAAGCTGACACCAAGGTATGTGCCAACAGTCTGCGTCTTACATTACTCTCAATACCTCAACACCATCGTGTGTCGCTGTGTCTAATGTAAGTCTACATAACACGCGGCCGGCTGCGTCTCACCTTACAAAGGCTGGATTTCTCACTTAGCAACCAAACAAAAATTTATCAGATTTTTTTCGGTTGCTATAATGAATAATGCAGCCAATATTACAGACAGTTAAATGAACTTTCAGTTTTCTGAAACATTTGTTGATACACGATAGAAGACCGAGGGGCTGTAAATGGAAATTTAAACAAATGTGAGGGAATTGATGATGTCAAGAATGTTTTTGATGTCAACAATTCAAATAATGAAAGCTCGTTCCAATCCATTTATTTCAGGCAACATTTGTGAGTGAACAATATCACTAATATACATGACATTCTCTTGATATCTACTCCCCGCACAACAGATTATATGACACTATATTTTAAATTGTCTTTGATATTTGTTGCTAATTATTGTTTCTGTACACACAAGTGCCCTTAATTCATAGCTCAATTCAATTTCTTTCTTTATTATGCCCCCCATACCCATCCCGTAGGCGGTTGTGGAAAGAGTCACAGAGGCACACAATGTGTTCAGGAACTGAATCCCATAATTCGTTTAACTTAACAAGTAACAATATTCTGAAGCAAGTTACACAAATGTTAATGCTTCTTAAAAAACAGTTCCGAGGTACATCTTTCATATCATAACACAGCTGCAGCTCAGCGTGCACAGCGAAAGGGCAAATGGTCCTTAAAGGTCCCCAAGATCCTTATTTTCGGTACGAATAAGGACTGCGAGAGCAAGGCCTGTCGATCCTTTTGACTCCAGGATTTTTAAGCAAGAGGTGCTTAAAACTGTATAGTTATATCACAATAATTTCCATTCACTCCCCGACCAGTTATCATGTTTACAACTGTCCCTTGTCAGCAAAAACAACAGATCACTAATCTCGATTACTTTAAACCAGGACAAAAAAGTTTTCTAACACTAGAGTTGTCATCTCCGCCATAGTCAGATGGACGTCGTGTTTTGCATTCATATCATAATCTCCATGAAAGACATGGCAGCTATCAATATAACATACTGCACTTTAGGCTCAATCTTTGTCCAGCCGACAGTTGATATAAACTGCACAGAGGATCCACTCACTGCTAGCTGCCTCCTTCACTGACATCCCCCTCTCCCCCCTCACATCTAACTTTATCTATTGCTGCTCGACACTGGCGAGTATTGCCTGACTCCTTGGTTTTACAAGTCTACCATTCGTGCATGACCATCCACTTGTATGTTTATTCCTGTTGCATGACTATCACTGCTGCATACCCATCACTGTTACATGCTCATTCCTGTTGCATGCCCATCACTGTTGCGTGTTCATCCCTGTTGCATGCCCATCACTGTTACATGCCCATCACTGTTGCATGCCCATCACTGTTGCATGCCCATCACTGTTGCATGGCCATCACTGTTGCATGCCCATCCCTGTTGCATGCCCATCACTGTTGCATGCCCATCACTGTTGCATGCCCATCACTGTTGCATGCCCATCACTGTTGCATGTCCATCCCTGTTGCATGCCCAGCACTGTTGCATGCCCGTTCCTGTTGCATCACTGCCCATCACTGTTGCATGCCCATCACTGTTGCGTGTTCATCCCTGTTGCATGCCCATCACTGTTGCATGTCCATCACTGTTGCATGCCCATCCCTGTTGCATGCCCATCACTGTTGCATGCCCATCACTGTTGCATGTCCATCCCTGTTGCATGCCCATCACTGTTGCATGCCCGTTCCTGTTGCATCACTGCCCATCACTGTTGCATGCCCATCACCATTGCATGCCCATCACTGTTGCGTGCCCATCACTGTTGCCTGCCCGTTCTTGTTGCATGCCCATCACCATTGCATGCCCATCACTTTCGCGTGCCCATCACTGTTGCATGCCCATCCCTGTTGCATGCCCATCACTGTTGCATGCCCGTCCCTGTTGCATGCCATCACTGTTGCATGCTCATTCCTGATGCATGCCCATCACTGTTGCATGTCCATCACTGTTGCATGCTCATTCCTGATGCATGTCCATCACTGTTGCATGCCCATCACTGTTGCGTGCCCATCACTGTTGCATGCCCATCACTGTTGCATGCCCATCACTGTTGCATGCCCATCACTGTTGCATGCGAATATTTTTGCGTACTCATCGCTGTTGCCTGATCATCTCTGTTACATGTTCATCAGTGTTGCATTTCCATTCACGTTGCATGATCATTCCTACTGCATGTTGCTTCCTATTGCATGCCCTCGCCCATCTTTGTTGCACGAACACCTCTCATGCACGCTGAACGCTCCTCTCAGTGTTGCAAGCCCAGCCGTCCCAGCTCCTCACTCACTGGCACAACCCTCCATTTTTGAGCCCCATTTACATACAAAAATTTATTGTGGTCGACTTCTCACTCACCAACTGGCCTTATTATGGAGGCCCCAGATTCGTGTGGTAGACTATAGAGGCCCCAGACTTGTGTGGTAGACTATGGAGGTCCCAGACTCGTGTGGTAGACTATAGAGGTCCCAGACTAGTGTGGTAGACTATGGAGACTCCAGACTCGTGTGGTAGACTATGGAGGCTCCAGACTCGTGTGGTAGACTATGCACGTTGGTCGTTGTGGAAACTGACTTAAAGAGCACTTGCTAAACTACAATAAAAGGCATTAAGATTTATAGTGGAGTATACGACATAAGTTGTAATGGCAAGAGCCTGGCCGCCGGCACAGTGGCCTGTCTATGCAGGTTCGGTTTTAAGACTCAGTACTGTATAGCACCGGAGTGTTATTGAGGCCTTCAATATAGTTTTCTGACCAATCAGTTGGTATACTTTAGTCATGAACAGATTTCGTGAGTTAAGACAACACTCCATATACTGTATTAGAGTGATAAACAGTATCGGGGGAAGGGGGCGCTTCTTGATAACTGTATCCCTTCCTGAGTTGTTGACACTAATACTTTATCAATACTTGAAACTCGAAGGGGAATTTGAAAGAAATGTAAATATTTTTTTAGTATCCGTGATAAGAATAACTTGTGGTTTTCTTATCTTAATTTCATTTTCTTTCTTCTGTCAAATTTCTCGTTCACTATCTTGAGAACGACTTATTGCATTCACTTTAAACTTATACTTCATTATAAGTTTAACCAAAAGTTGATTTTGTTTCGTTGTTGCCGCTCGTTCATTGTGCACCCCATACTTATCTTGCGATCGGTAACGTTAATGGATTACAGAGTGCACAAAAGGTTTTATCAGACCTCAACGGAGATTATTGCATTAACAAATGTGATCATGTGATCTGATCTGCCGCGTCGTCTTTTCACTGAGCGTCCAACATACGGCTGCAACACCACTAAAATTTAATCTTGATGTTAGACAAATACTGCCGTTTTAATTCTGGAGTTAGATAAATGCTATGGTTCTAATGGTGATGTTAGAGAAATTTTGTCGTTTTAATCTTCATGTTAGAGAAATGCTGCCGTTCTTGGCTGATGACTTGAGAATGTTGGTTGTCTGTAGGTGGATGCCTCAGAAATATGGCTGTCTGTGGCTGGACACCTCAGAACTATGGTTGTCTGTGGCTGGACGCCTCAGAACTACGGTTGTCTGTGGCTGGACGCCTCAGAACTATGGTTGTCTGTGGCTGGACACCTCAGAACTATGGTTGTCTGTGGCTGGACGCCTCAGAACTACGGTTGTCTGTGGCTGGACGCCTCAGAACTATGGCTGTCTGTGGCTGGACACCTCAGAACTATGGTTGTCTGTGGCTGGACACCTCAGAACTATGGCTGTCTGTGGCTGGGCACCTCAGAACTATGGCTGTCTGTGGCTGGACACCTCAGAACTATGGTTGTCTGTGGCTGGACACCTCAGAACTATGGTTGTCTGTGGCTGGACACCTCAGAACTATGGCTGTCTGTGGCTGGACACCTCAGAACTATGGTTGTCTGTGGCTGGACACCTCAGAACTATGGTTGTCTGTGGCTGGACACCTCAGAACTATGGTTGTCTGTGGCTGGACACCTCAGAACTATGGTTGTCTGTGGCTGGACACCTCAGAACTATGGTTGTCTGTGGCTGGACACCTCAGAACTACAGCTGTCTGTGGCTGGACGCCTCAGAACTACGGTTGTCTGTGGCTGGACGCCTCAGAACTACAGCTGTCTGTGGCTGGACGCCTCAGAACTACAGCTGTCTGTGGCTGGACGCCTCAGAACTACGGTTGTCTGTGGCTGGACGCCTCAGAACTACAGCTGTCTGTGGCTGGACGCCTCAGAACTACGGTTGTCTCTGGCTGGACGCCTCAGAACTACAGCTGTCTGTGGCTGGACGCCTCAGAACTACAGCTGTCTGTGGCTGGACGCCTCAGAACTACAGCTGTCTGTGGCTGGACGCCTCAGAACTACGGTTGTCTGTGGCTGGACGCTAGATCAAACATTTTCCATCCTTAGGGCTCCTCGAAACAATCCCTCTCCTTCCTAAGGATTGTAAGGTGAAACGAAGCCCCTCTGAGCCCAGGAGCCAACGAGAGGGGAGTGGCAGCGAGGGAAATGGTAAGGGGTTTACTTGAGGTGAGCCCCTCTCCCCTCTGGTAAACCCCTTACCAGGTCTCTCGAACCCTCTCTTCACAGCCCTACTAGAATAAGGGAAGGACCTGATGGAGTGTATATGTGGATACATGACGGGTGGGGAGGGAGAGAGACAGACAGACACACGCACACACACAGACAGACAGGCAGACACACACACACAGACAGACAGGCAGACACACACACACACACACACACACAGACAGAAAGACTGGCAGGCAGACAGAGTCTGTGTAACAATATATGTACAAGGGTTTAGTCCACAGTTGTGAGGCTTCAGATATAGAGTTGTATGTAAGAAGGTGAGTATTAGCCGCGAGGCCCACCAACCCTCACTCTCTCACTCATCGC